TTCCGGTGCTGAGCAAGGCAGAAGCGAGGGAAAGCGACCAGGGCTTGAAGGTGGCTGCAGCAGCTGCCGCAACAGTCGCGGCAACAATGGGTGTCAAGAAACCCAGCCAGTTCGTCGAGGAGTTCGTTGCAGCTGCTAGTGCTGATGGCCTGACTCCCGTCATCATGATCGACGAAGCTAGCATAGCCTTTCCTGACGGCAATGGTGGCAACGGGAATGGTAGGAAGGCTGCAGCGGAAGCTGCCCTCGCCCTCTTCGTGGCTATCAGCAAGCAGCAGGAGAAGGTGTCCGCGGCATGTTGGTGTGAAAGCATGGCTGTAGCAATCTGGCTTCAACTATCCCCTCTTTTGCTCTTAAGGCACTGAGTCCCACACATCCCCCTCAGGCTTGCGTGGTCCTGGTGGCCTCCGAGTACGCCTTCCCTTACCGGATCGAGAAGCTGGGTAGGGGCAAGTACGACTCGCTAAACATCATCGTGGCACCCGAAGTTGAGGAGGTAGCCATGATCGAGATGCTGACGAAGTGGGGCATGCCATCGGACCTTGCCAAGGCGTTCTACGACAACTTTGGTGGCGACATCTTCTTGTGCAGCCAGGCACTCTCGAAGCTCACCGTGGAGTTCAGCCTGGGTGAGGAAGTGGACTTTGACCCATGGCGCATGCGGGACAACTTCGGCCTCGACGACTTGGTGATGGACAACCTCACCCGTCAGCACATGGAGAACATGGCAAAGCAAGGTTGGTCGCCCATTGAAGGAGGCGACGCCAAGACTGAGACACCGAGCCAGTCGGCAGCCAGGGCAATCGTCAAGATGAACTTCGGCGCGGTCATTGGGGGACAAACCACCTTGTTCGGCCATCTTGGAAGTCTCAAGAAGCAGATGTTCGAGGACCCAGGGTAGCCGCAAAGACTTCTCAAATCATGGCGTCCGCACGAACATTGAGAAACTGCAGTACATCTGAAAGTATCGTTGTTGGCCATTCCTTGTGTTAGTTTGTGTTGTGTCGGGTTGACTCAAGGACGCCACCACTCAGCAGGTGTTGATCCCCACCACGCAATACATGCGGAAGTGCATCCAGAAGATGGTTGAGGCAGTCAAGCAGAAGAAGGAGGAGGCAGCCCGGCAGGAGTCCTATTGACGCACACTCCTGTTTCCTTTCCGGCGGCTTTGGTACGCCGGTTGCCTTTGTTTCACCGTGCAGGCCTTGCTCTCGCGGAAACACCGAGGGTCATGCTCGCATCGTCGTGATTGTCCCTGCTGCGGTACCCTCATTGTTGCCTGCTTCCACCCTAGAAAACCAATGATCTCACGATCATAAGGTCATGAGCCTTCCTTGTTTCACACACGCAAAGCCAATGACCTCATGATCAGAAGCTCATAAGCTTCTTCCCCCCCCTTCCCACAGAACCAATAATCTCACGATCATGGGCTCATGAATTTTGACCTGCGGTGCTCACACGGCCGCCTCTGTAAGAGTTTAAGAGGTTTAAGGAAGGGCACGCTCAGGGGCTTAAGAGCTTCAGGGGTTTAAGGAAAGGCACGCTTAGGGGCTGAGGAGCTAAGGGGTTTAGGACGGCACGCTTAGGCGCTTGAGAGCTTAAGGGGTTTAGGAATCGACACCCCATCAAATCCAAATGCCGATTTGTGGCCATTTTAGGAGCCTTTGCCTGCTTTTCGAGGCACGTTTGATGCTTTTGATGCTTTTGACCCCTCCCCCTGTCCAGCACGGGCTCGGGACTTAGGGGTACCCAGGAACGCAACATCGTCATCGATGCCGCGCAGGCCGCGCGGGCCCCCGGGGACTGCCCGCCCGCCGATGCTCATCGATGCCGCGCAGGCCGCATGGGCCCCGGGGACTGCCTGCCCGCCGATGCTCATCGATGCCCAGCCCGCGCCCGCCCGACCCCCGCAGTTCTCGCCCGATGCCAGTCCGCGGCCCGTCAAGTTCGTCAACTTTG